AAGGCCCTGCCGCCCCGTGACCCCAGCCCAGCAGTGCCTAAGTCTCTGCTTGAGACCCAGGAAAGCCAGCACTTCTCTGCCCACAGCTGAACTTTGGGGTTTCCCTCCAATCCTCTCAGCCAGTCCGGGATCTTGAGAGGGTGAAAAAATCCTTTTGCCCTTTATAGCAATTAGTACCGCCTCCCCCCCATCCCCCCACAAGGACCTCCGCAGGCAGATCGTGGAGATGCGGCGAGCTCTCGGCCGGAAGGACCGGTCTGATCACCCAGGCTGACCTGCCGGCACAGAACTTCACCCCAAGATCCCTGCACCAAGCTCATGGCTCGGACTGGTCAGAGTAGAGCCCCCACATCCCTTGCACTCTGGGAATTCCCCTCACTGGTAGCCACTGCATCTTATTTCCCGTTTGAACTTGGCTGACTCCAGCTTCCAGGCGTTGGCTCGTTCTGCCTTTGTCTGATCTGTCCGTCTGTCATATGCAGTGTTGTTGTAGCCGTCTGGGTCTCAGGATATTAGAGAAACAAGGCGGGTGAGGTGATAGCTTTTATTGGGCCAACTTCCATTGGTGAGAGAGAGAAGCTTTTGAGCCATGCAGAGCTCGTCTTCAGGTCAGTCGATCTGTCTATCACATGGCTTTATTCTGCCAGCTTCCATGTCAAATCAAGAACAACAGCAAAGTTCCTAGTGAACTTCATGGAGTTTGTGGCACTTCTCCCTTTTTGGGGTGAAATCTCTGCTGGGGGAGGGCAAGATTAAATATCGTTAGTTCACCGTTATTAATGTATTTTCTTACCATGGATTTTCAGGGTTTGTTTGGGTTTGTGGTTTGGTCGGTCGGTGTGTGGGGGTAGAAGGGGTTTTGGTGTCAGGGTTGGGGGGTAGAATGGGGGCTGGGTTAGTGTCAGGGTTTGGGGGTTGAAGAGGGTGCCAGTGTAGGTTGTTGCAGGGAGTGTTGGGGTTTGGGGGCATGAGCGGGTGTCAGAGCTGGGAGGGTCATTCTCATGCGGGATAAGGCCTGTTAGAGGAGCGAGCTGTGTGGTGTCAGACTGCGATGGGGTGTACAAACCCCACGCTACAGAACAGGGGGTTAAGGGCTCAGCACAGCTCATGTTGCTGCGTGCCAGGGAGCAGCTGGAGGAAATGGCATGTCTGGGGGAGACGGCTCAGCCTTCCAGAGTCAGGTGTTCAAGTTCAACCGAGGTCAGCAGCCAAATCGGGGCCCATGTTGCTCATAAGCCACAATCTTCCTCGCCGAGGCTGGAAGTTCTGCACATCTGATGTCATGGTCAATGCGGAGAGGCCACAGAATGCATTGCTCAGCCCAGGTAAATCACCTGCCAATGACACGGCAGAAGGTCGAGTTCCTACAGAGCAAGAGGAACGTGCACCAGGCTTGCCCTGCCCAGATCACAGAGCATCTAGGAGAAGCTCGGCGGTTCTTTCGGTGGGTGCAGAGGTTGAGGGGAGCAGGAGCTGTGAGAGGCACAGACATTACACACCCAACGGCCCGGACAGGAGGTCTGTGTTAGTGAGCAAAGTGTGTGTGGCACCTGCACACGCACTTGGCAGACTTGGGTGTCGTTCTCAGACTAGGGCCCCACTTTTGTGTGAAAACTCCTTCCTTCCAATTGCACGTGCTGCTTATTTCCATTCGTTTGCAACTGCACCATGCTGCAAATGCATCCTCCTTGCACTGACCCCTGCCTCTTATGGACCAAATTGAGAGCGGGTGTTAGGGGAGCATCTCCCCAAAGCCCGTTACCCTCTTTCGAATAGTCTGACTCTGGCTGCCGTGTGCTGGGGTGGATTAGTTCTATAAAGGATTCTCTTGTGAGTGCTTCTAAACAAACTCCTCCTTGTAATCGGGCCACGTTTCCCTGTCTTGTCCGATGGCCAGTTAACACACCTCTGACAATGCTCTTATGATTCACCAGCGACCAGCGTCTCTCAGGCTGCAGTTACAATGGGCTTTGCTGCCAAAAACGTCGACCGCCTCTGCCCCCAGTGGGAAGCTAGTGCAGAGGAGGGCGTATTAAGCACCATGCTCAGTGCAGGTGCACACTGCACAGCAGTCTCCAATTGCCCTCCCCAGAGCTGCCATCGATGGCTCAGACCCTGCTAGGGGCAGGCGACAAAGGACAAGGGTTCACTGTCTCTGAACAAGTACCTCACTGATGCACACACTCACCCAGTCCCTCCCTGCAGGATCTGGCACCGCAAGCTCATGCCCTGGCCAGGAGGGTGGATTTCTGAAGCCATCCGAGGGACCCCCTGACTGTTAGAGAGTTGCCACCTGCCAGTGGCTGAGAGCTGGGAGTGAGAGAGCGTCTGAGAACCAAACCAGGGCTGGCTGGAGCTGCCCCAATGCCTCTCCCGCTAGGCAGCCGTGTTCTCCTTAAGCATGTTCTGTTTACGTTCATTGCAGCACTTCCTGCCTGCTCTGGAATGTCCTGCTATTGTGAGCCCCAGCTCCCTGCCAAGTCCTGCCTTGGGGACAGTTTCACAGGGTGAACGATAGGAATAGTCCTTGGGATCGAACCTCAGTAGTAACCGTTTAAAATGGGATGATGCAAACTCCTCCCGGCCCTCCTGCCCCTGTGGTGTGACCCAGTCTCCAGTGCGCTCGGCGCAGGGGCCCTCTGCGCAGTCTGGTTCTGCAGCAGGCGTGCTGCGTGTGCTCCGAGTGGGGTGTTTCCCTTTGCGGGGACTGGCCGAACATCCCAGTGCTGCTCTGTGCACTCGGGGCCTTGTCTGCACTCGCCTCTTTCCCTCCAATCTCCCGTCGTCACTGGCGCCGGCGCCGCTCTGCTGAGGGCAGCGGGGCGGGGGGGACTGCCTTAGAAAAACACCAGCAGCCTCCGATATTTTACCTTGTCCGGTGCCACACGGGGTTCACTGACACTGGTTGGAAGGTCTGGGGCCAGCCTGCCTCCAATTGGAAATGGTGCAAAATCAAGTGCAGACACCGCCTGCGGGCAGCACAGCGTCTACCGGCCTCTGCCCTGCACTAAACACCTGTGGAGCTACGGCAGGCGGGGCCACATTACGGCAAGGGGCTTCGATGCGCCGTCCTGGCTGGGGCAAGAGCTAAGCAACTTCTAGTCAATTCAAGGCATCACCAACTCTTGCAATTTTATCTCAAGTCTCGTGATAGTTGGCGTTTTTCTCGAAGTCCCCGCGCCTGGAACCAGGAGAATAAAACTCGGCCTTCACAGAAGAAAGGAGCCTGGTTCCAGAGTGGAGAGATGTGGAAAAATGTGGTCCGAGTGCAACCTCCGTGCTTGGACCCCAGAAAGCAAAGCCCCACTCCCACCCTGCAGTGTGTTATTTTTCAGAATCTCCTGATTGGAAGCCAGTCTCATGCTTTGGGGGCTGGACTCCTGGTTTTGGGATGTGTGGGGTTTCAATCGTTCCCAAGTGAAGTGTCTTGGGGCTTTGGACTGGATTCCCAAGGGGATTCCGGTCCCATTCCCTTCCGTGACCCTTAGCCAGTGGATAGCGCACCCATGTTCAGACCCCCCAGCTATGGACTACTGGCGGGTGGTCACTCTCAGGCTCTCCTGCTGAAGCTGCTTCACTTTGTATAATAATTCAGTATTCAGGGGAGCAGGAACTGGAGCCCAGGCTTGTCCCCCTCATCCCCAGCTCAGTGCCCCACCCACTGGGCTACAGAGTCATTCTCAGTGTCTCGCTCTGGCCCAAGGCCTGGGCAAGGATTTGATGCCATGTGGAACAGCGTCAACAAGCGAAGGTGAGAGGCCCGCACTGCGGCCTGGGGGTTGGGCTACTCACCCAGCAGGGGGCAGAGCTGGGCTCAAGTCCCTGTCTAGAGTGGGGATACCAGCGTGGTGAGTTCTCTAACCACTGGACTCAAGGGTGTCAGGGGGCACAGGACCCACCACCTCCTTGCCCTCCTCCAGGTCTGTGACTCTAGCCCTTCGTTCCTTTGCTTTTGTTAAAAATGCCCAAAACAAAACAAGGATGTTTCCAATTTGTTGACATTTTAAAAAAAAATCGGGTTTGGTTCGACCCAACGGGAGCCATGTGTCTGATGTGTCAAAACTGCCAGACAGTTATCGGCCCCGCGCTGCTGATCGCCTCCCCGAGAGCAGCTCCAAGCTCTGTGTGTGCTCTGAGACCAGTCTCTGCAGCAGGAGGATGACCATGGCTCTCTGGATAGGGAATGGTGCCTGGACATGCCATGGGACTGGGACCTGGGGCAGCCCAGGGCTAGCCACAATGAGGCATGCACCGACATTGGCACAGCACCAGTCTTGTGGCCCACCCAGCCCTTTGCCTCCTTCTAGCACTGATTTGCACTTTGGCACTGCCTTCTGTAGCACTTTCCATCCAAGGATCTCAAAGCACTTCACCAGCATTAATGAAGAAGCCCTCCCAGTGTGGTAGGTCAGTGCTACCCGCCTGGAGCAGCACATGTGTGACAGAACCGAGACTACAGCCTACACCTCCTAAGGCGTGAGTCTGTGATGTAACTGCTGGGCAACACTACACCCTGTATCAGGGGATGGGATGCTACAAAACTCTGCCTATGCGTAAAGCTCAACGGTACAGTAAAAAGCGGTCCCAGCCTGGGACTGGCACCCTGGTAAATTTCTGTCTGTCTGTCTGTCTGTCTGGAGTGCAGCAAATGCTCCTGCTTGTTTAGTCTGGCAGACCAGGGATCCGGGGAAGGGTGGAGCAGAGAAGAAACCTACTCTCATTTTGCACCCGCTCATTTAGACAGGGACATGGGCTGTAAATAGGCCTGGGGCTGGGGGCTGGCAGCTAGTTATCGTTCAAGGAATTAAAAAAAGAGAATTCCTACGGCAAGGGGCTTGTTTGTCTGCGGCGCTGGCTTGGCAGGGGCGGATCCCAGCTCTCCTGCCATGCAGCAGGAAACAGGAAGGTTTGTGCTCGCCCCCTCCTGCCTGCGCTCTGACGAGGGCTCATTAAGCAGCCCTATTTTCAAACTGAAGTTGCAGGCAACAAAGCTGGAGTTCACACACACTCCCCTCCACTCAGCAAACAGGCGCCAGCGTGCACCCGGCAGGGAGAGAAGCCTTCTGAGGTGTGTGGGGGACAAACCGGTGGGAGCTGCAGAGCCTCAGGCCCAGGTGCAGCGCAGCGGCTAAGGGGCGAGCGAACAGGTTCACCCTTCGCCTCGAGTCCATCTGCACCGACCGTCCCAGCGACTGGGAGAGCATGGCAGCACCGTGGATTGCACTGCAGAGGCTCCTGCTGGGCGCAGCCTTGCTGCAGCTGGAAGGTGAGTTCGTTCCCAGGGCCAGGCCCCTGGCACTGTCCTTGTGGCGGGTTATAGCCAGCAGGGCTGACCGGGGCAGGCAGGGACAGTCTGTTACTTTCCTTCTCCGCACTGTCTGTGAGTAAGATGGGAACCCCCTGCCTTAGAACTCCTGCTGGTGTCCTTGGAGGAGCGAGTGCTCGCACTGCCCGTGGCGAGCTATTTCCTACGGCTTGGAATTGCCTTTCCCCTGAGATCGGCACAAGAGAGCCGGGCAATGCGCAGTGGCCACCGGGTGTGGCCGGGGGAGGACAGTCTGCCAGGCTGGGGTTGTCTTGAACCCTATTTTATTGGAGGTTCTTTCCCATGTAGCACAGCTCCTGGGTCTGGCCCATCAGCCGGTTGCTGAGCAGCTCCGAACACCAGGGCAGACCAACCAGGGAAACACTGATTCCTTGGGACGGAGCTGTTGTCTTGCCTCTTTCCATTTCTTTTGTGCATCTCAAACTGCGAGTGCCTCGAGGTCAGAGGCTGCTCTTCTCTATCTGCATCGCTCTGTGTTCAGCTCAGGTGCCAATACTGGCAGCGCAGTGCTCTGAGCGCTGAGCTGGGGTGCAGCCGTGTCTGCCTGGGGTCGGCACAGACCCACCAGCCGGCTCAGTCTCTGCTCACAGAGGTGGCAAAGCTGCTTTTTGTCCCTTCACAGGCGGGTGAAGGAAGCATTGGAAACACTTAGACCGAGCGGTTCTGGAACTCTGAATAGGGACAATGCAGCTTTGAGTCACTGCAAATTATCCTCTTTCACACGGGCTCGAAACGTTCCCAGCGGCCAAGCTCCCACCGCTGTCCTGGCTGGTGTCGCTGAGCATTCGCTCCAGGGGTCGGACCCTGCAGCTACTGTACAGAACGGAGAGTAATTCCCAGACAAAAGCGCCTTCATTTCCTGCAGTTAGGGCTGTAAACAGGAATCAGGAGCGAGACGGGAAAGAAAGCAGAATGCAGCATTGGTGTGTTTTAAAATAACATAAACAGCTGAAAAGGAGGAAATTCAAAGTTAATGTTACACAGAGACGCACACACACAAACCTACAACAACATGGAAATGCTGAGTCCAATACCCTTAACTCTGCCCTTGTAGTGCCGGCACCTCATATAAGGCAAGTGCTTCCCAAATTTTTCATTCTTGCAGCCTCCTCGTCACCCATTGCTGGTGTGGCCGGGCTCTACTGAATCCCACGCCGTGTGGTGAACACACCCAGACCAGCCCTGGTGCATATAGCAGCCTGCTCATGTTCTGCAGCAGAATGCAATAACAAATGTAACATTTCACCTTCTGCCATTTGTCTGATGCTCCTGGTTCTGTTCCCGCCACCCTTGTTCATGCCAAGCTCCCTACTCTTAAGACAGTCCCTGGGACACCAGGCCTTGTAGTGTTGTCTGAGTTTTACCCGGACACTCCGGTTTTTGGCTTCTGTGTCCAGGTGCCATTTAGGGTTGCCAGGTTTCGACCAGAAAGGCCAGTTGAAAAGGGGACCTGGCAGTGTCCAGTCAGATGTACTGACCGGACACCAAAAGTCTGGTTACCACGGGGGGGGGGGCAGGCGCCAGGTCATTAACCTGTGCCAGTCCCTGCTCAGCCAGGGCCACCTCCTACCTGCAAGCAGGCTCTTTGTCAGGCTGCAGCAGCTCCTGTCCAAGCCCCGGAGCAGAGAGAGCCAAGCGATGAGGGGAGAGGGAGAGGAGTGAGCCACGGGGGCGGGACCTTGGAAGAAGAGGCAGAGAAGGGGTGGGGCCTGGGGGAAGAGGCAGAGAAGGGGCATGGCTTTGGGGGAAGAGGTGGTGCAAGGGCGGGGCCTTGGGAGGAAGAAGTGGGGAGAGGGGCTTCGGGGGCCAGTTACCAGCAATTGGAAAGGTGGCAACAACCCTACAAGGGGCTTTCTGGATAATGGGATCTGTCAGTGGATAGCTGGAAGTTGATAGTAATTAATATAAATTAGAAGTTAGGAACTGTAGTAAATCGATAAGGGAAGCAAAGGGACACAAGGAAAAATCTATGGCCAGCAGAGTTAAGAACAATCAATATAGGCTTACAGAAAATGGATCCTGTCAAACTAACAATATCTTTTTTTGATGAGACTGCAAGTGATAAAGGTAACAGTGGTCATGGGATATACTTAGACTTCTGTAATGCATTTCACTTGGCACCACACAACATTTTGATTAGAAAACTAAAACAATTTACAATTAACATGGCACATATTAAATGGATTAAAAGCTGGCTATCTGATAAGTCTCAAAATGTAACTGTAAACAGGGAATCATCATCAACTGGGTATGTTTCTAGTGGGGTCCCGCAAGGTTCGGTTCTTGGCCCAACACTATTTAACATTTTTATCAATGACCTGGAAGAAAACATAAAATCATCACTGATAAAGTTTTCAGATGGCACAGAAATTGGGGGAGTGATAAATAATGAAAAGGACAGGTCACTGATTCAGTGTGGTCTGATCACTTGGTAAGCTAGGTGCAAGCAAACAATATACATTGTAATACAACTAAATGTAAATGTGAGCATTTAGGAATCAAGACGGTAGGCCATACTTACAGGATGACTCTGTCCTGGGAAGCAGTGACTCTGAAAAATATTTGGGGGTCTTGGTGGATAAGGGGGAAGGATAGCTCAGTGGTTTGAGCATTGGCCTGCTAAACCCAGGGTTATGAGTTCAATCCTTGAGGGGGCCATTTAGGGATCTGGGGCATAAATCTGTCTGGGGATTGGTCCCCCTTTGAGCAGGGGGTTGGACTAGATGACCTCCTAAGGTCCCTTCTAACCCTGGTATTCTATGAATCAGCTGAACATGAGCTGTGGCCAAAGAGCTAATGCGATCCTGGGATGCATAAACTGGAATCTCAAGTAGGATTAGAGAAGTTATTTGGCACTGGTGCTACTGCTGCTAAAGTCCTGTGTCCAGTTCTGTGCTCACAATTCAAGAAGGATGGTGATAAATTGGAGAGGGGTCAGAGAGGAGCCACCAGAATGATTAAAGGATTAGAAAACCTGCCTTATAGTGAGAGACTCAAAGAGCTCAGTCTATTTAGCTTAACAAAGAAGGTTAAGGGGTGACTTGATCACAGTCTATAGGTACCTACATGGGGAGGAACAAACATTTACTAATGGGCTCTTCAGTCTAGCAGAGAAAGGTCTAATGTGATCCAATGGCTGGCAGCTAAAGCTAGACAAATTCGGATTGGAAATGAGGCGTGAGTTTTTAACGGTGAGAGTAATTAACCTTTGGAACAATTTACCAAGGATCGTGGTGGATTCTCCCTCACTGACAAGTGACAATGTTGAAATCAAGATGGGCTGTTTTTCTCAAAGCTCTGCCCTAGGGATTATTTGGGGCAGGTGTCTGGCCTGTGCTGTACAGGAGGTCAGACTAGCTGTAGCCGTGTTGGTCCCGAGATGGGTTGTAATGGTTTGTGCTACCCCGCATGGGTTCTGGTGAGGGGTACATGTACATCATGAAACGAGCTCTCTGGTGACCTGCTGACAACAGCCGCCCCAGTGCTGTTCAGACACGACCCCACGGGCAGTGAGGCCAGGCCCCTAGCCTCGCTGTAACCCTGCCCTGGCTGGGCTGACGCCAGGGGGTGGGTCCGGGACGCGTCCTTGCGTTGTGTCAGGAGGGGCCTGTGCTCCTGGGGAGGGATCTCACCCAGGGATCAATGGCCCCTGGTTTGTTTTCTGGAGCCTCCCCCCGTGCTCTGGTTCTGTGGGGCCGTGCGCCATTCACTGCCTGTCAGGGCTTTTCTCCAGGCAGGACAATGCTGCGATTGTGCAGCCCTGCTCCCAGGGCGGGTCACTTTCTGCAGACACATTCACATGGAAAAGTTCCGTGACAAAGAGGGAAGGAGAGAAAAGCTGGAGGCGAGGGGGGGGGATGGACACCAGCCCCCAGGGGAGAGCACCCTCAGCCAGGGACTCCGCACAGCCGCTGAGGAGTGCAGCTCCCATTTGGAAACCAGGACTCGCTGGTCACAAACCCCGTCCTGGCCACTCTCTGACACTTGACTTGCCATTTTCAGAGCAGTTTTGCTTCCACGGAGCTCGGGCCCAGCAGAGAGAGGATGGCAGCCCCAGGCCAGCCGGGCGGGGAGGGCCTGGGCCTGTCCAGTGAACTACACAAGCCCCATGCCTTGAGCTCCCCCTCCGGCCCAGCTCGCCGCGAAGCCTCTGTCTGTTCTCCTTCTGCAATAGCATTTGGGGCATATGTAGCGCATGACGGCAGTGGGGCCACTGACTGTCCCAGGCACAGCGCAGTGTTGTCCCAGCAATACCACGCGGCTCCCCGACACCAGCCCAGGCCCCAGGACAGCCACACGGGCCAGGGAGCCCACTGCAAGCCGCGTCCACTGCATGCGAACCAGACACTGTCGGATGGAGGAGAGGGGCTAAGAGGCCGTGGGGTGCTGAGCGGAGGAAGGGACTGGTGCTCCAGGAGCTCAACCATTGGCTTGGGGTGCTAAGTGCTACTCCCGGGGCTGGCAGAGTCACTCTGTTAGCCTTTCTGAGTGCTAGTTTCCTGACCGTCCCCGGGGAAGGGGATTGACATGCAGCGCCTCCTGGGCTGCCTGTACTTAGCAAAGGGTTGTTAAGGGCAGTAGGTGTCAGCGGCAGGAATGGAGCCCATTGCTGGCCCCTGTGCTGGGCCCTGTCCACTAGACCATGCTGCCCCCAGGCCCCTAGCACTGGGCAGGGGCAGTGCACGTGGGTTTGTTCCCACCCACTGTGAACGCTTTCCAACCTCCCCATTCTGCAGAAAATCAAAACTTCATTAAAGGAACTAGCAAAAACCTGCTCAACTTTAGGGGTGGGGCTGTGACCATGGATGCGAACAGCGCCACCTGCTGGCTAAACACCCTCATTCACTGCACTCACATCACATACTGCTACTCACCGGGGAGCCCATGCCTTGGGACAAGGGGCTGCCCTCCAGCTACCCAGCCAGCAGAGGGGGAGAGGA